GGGGGGCGGCGACGGGCATGCAGCGGAAGGGTCAGATGGTGGGGCAGGCGGGCGCGAGCCTGGGCGACGGGTGTCGCCGCGGTGGCGGCCTGTCGCGAGCATGCAGTCGCGGACGCACGTGGCCAACCTGGTCGAAGGGCGATCCGAAGGCGCAGCACTCCCAGGAGGTGCACGACCGGCCCACCTGCGAGCACCAGAAGGGGTCCCGCTGGAACTCCCCCGGGTCGAACCAGTTGTAATCGTGGACATAGAGCTCACGCCCGGCCACCCCGAGCGAGTAGCCCCGGTACGAGCGCTTCAGGGCCTGGTGCTGGTACCGGACCCCGGTGTCGATGTTGCCGACGACCACCCCCTCGCCGGTGGAGAGCTCCCAGGTGGCGGGGGCGTGGATTTGACTTATGCCCCAGTTCTACCCCGGGGGGGGGGGGGGGGGGGGGGGGGGGGGGGGGGGGGGGACCATGGCGCGGAAATAATGTCAGTGCCGGGCAGCGGGCGGGGCCCCTGGAGGCGGGCGCGCGATCAGTGTGCGCCGGCAAAGGGCGGCCCCCGGCGCCCTCGCCGCTCGGGGGCCGGGCGATGCCACGCACAGCTCGGCCAATTCGGGCGGCCGGGCACACGGCCTCGTAGGTTTCATTGTCATTGCGATGGTCGTCGTCCTCGGCGTCCGGGCGGATCTCCACCTCGTCCAGGGGGTCGATGGCTGCCACGATGTGGTCGCCCCGGACGAGGCGCACCTCCGGGTGCAGGGCCAGGAAGTACACCAGCTCGGTGGGCATCTCCCGGGCGAAGATGCAGCCCACCAGCCAGGAGGTCTCCACCCGGGGCGGGATGCTCGGCCGGCCCGTGGCGCTGGCCCGGTAGGTGGTGGTGCCGTCGGCCATGGCCAGCCCCATGTCGAGCAGGGTCTCGGCGAAGACGCGCGATCCGGCCGCAAGGCGCGCGCGGTAGTACTGCTCCGGGACAGGGCCCCACCGGGCGGCGGGCATGGGGCAGGTCAGCGCGCCATCCAAGCGGAGGCGAAGCACAAGGCGGGGCGGGGGGGGGG